ATCAACTTCAAATGGTTGAAACAACAGTTGAAATGTAAACAGTTCGATCTTCTCAACGTTGGTACAAATTTCCAAGTTGCGGGCATTCTCACAAAAGCCTTTACCCGACCAGCATTAAGGCAACATGCCGTCAATCTCATTGGCATTGGCCCGACAAAGGTGGAGAAAGAAGCAGCTCGCGACGACGCGATGCTCAACTCTACTAAGGTGCCAAAGTTAGCTTCTGCTGCCGGGAATCAGGGGGGCCCAGTGAACAAACATGTGCCCAGAATGTTGATCGAATTTTGTCGCTCTGAAGACTCACAACTTAGTACCCAAAGAAAGTCCAGTCAAGATTGCCATTGCGTCAGGCTGACCGAGAAAGATGACGGAACTACTGATAGCTGTCGGCAACGACTAGCCTCTCTTGTCAAAGATTTCAGAAATGACTTTGATAATGGCACTTTGATCTTGTATGCATCATTGCCATGTGTGGGAGGAAGTCCTTGGGGAAATGTGAGCGGCCTTACGGTCAAGGGTCATGAAAGAATAAAGGATCAAGAAAAACAGTTTACCAAACTTTTCAAATCCTTTGTCGAACTTGTGGATGAAGTTTATGATGAACGAACCTTGATAGCTCTCGAACTTTCGAAGAATTGCAAATATTGGAGATGGCCAATGGTTAGAAAGTTTCTCATTGAACGTTTCATGTCGATGCACCATTTTGATGGATGTATGTTGGGAGTTCTTGGGAATGAAAAAGTTGGACAATTGCCGGAAACTTCAAAGAACTTGAAAGATTAGATTCCTGTCGTTGCAGTGGAAAACATGAACATGATCAAAGTCGAGGTAAGGCAGTAAAATTTGCTGAAAATTATACCTTCAAGTTGACTGACATGCTTCATGAGCTTTCGGGTAGCTGCGGTGGGCCAAGCCTCCAAAAGGAAAGCCTGTAACGCCAAAATCGCCTGTCCTGTCAAAATGGCCGACTCACCCACAGCCAACCCGGCCAGCCGTGAGGCTGAGCTCACTGCGCGACGTAAGAGGAATCAGGAATAATGGTGGAATGATTTCCATGGAAAGCTCTTGTGCGCAATGGTCATTCGCAACCAGGGAGAAGGAATTCTTGCATCGGATCTTGTCCAGGGCTTAATGAATGAGTGGTCTGCAGTTTCTGCACTCCGATTCTGTGGCCGAGACGAACCGATCATGAAGGCTCTGGAGTTCTGTGTCCCGCCTCATAAGCAAGATTTTGAGCGTATTGACACCGCGCCCCATCATCTGGATTTTCATTACAGGTCGCCGACATTCGCTGCGCAAGTATGACGTGTCAGAGCACTTTAAGGAGAGGAAGCCGCCTTATGTGCAGAAATTTATCCATGAGATGATGTGGGGAAAAACGCTCAGGAACCTGGTCAAGCGCGGTGTGCAGATAGCTGAGGAGGCTTTGTCCAGGTTTCCGGATGCCCTGGGATTGCAATCGGCCGGTCTCACAACCGCGCCCCTTGCTGCTGATTATGGAATTCAGCCCATCTTCGACGAATTTTTCCAACATGTTGAGCCGATCTGGTATGAACTCACAAGCCGCTCTCGCGAGCGAGCCGACTCGGATTTCCCATGGGTTGTATAGCAGCCGGATACGCGGACGAATTCGAAGTCAAAGGTCATTGGCACTTCGCCAATTCGGATGAAAATCGAGTCCGCCTGGCTTCGTTCTGGACAGCAACTTTGTTCCTGATCGATTGCGCTGCCAATGCATGGGGGGTCGGCTTGGAACTGGGACAGCTTGCACAGCAGCCGCATGATGACCTGCGCTGGAACCCAGGGTTTCTCTTTGAGAATTCGGCAGAAGCAGAAAGCACATCGTGCCAGTGGGGGTTGCCTTTACCGCAGAGGAAGTTGCACTCAGGCAGCCAGATACGGAGGATCTCCAGGATGTGAAGAACTTGGACCCAACGATGATCCCTTCTCAGCCAGCTGGACCACCTCCCAATCTGGCCACCGGCGACGTCGCGCCCCCAGATGCACGAAGAGCTGAACCGACGGTCACAGTCACCACGCAAAACATCCAACTCAAGTCCAAAGCTCCACCAGCATTGCCAAGTGCAAGCTCCGGCTCAGATTGGCCGCAGGCAACTGCGCGCCCAGCCCAGGAACATGAACGCAACTTTGTCCGTGCATACTTCATGGAGGAGCACTTGCCTGAGTATGAATATACGATGGTGACCAACTCCGAGTCCGAGGGAAATGAAGTCAACGGAGTGGGCTATGAGCTAGAATTGATGACAGCCACGGATGTAGAGACCTTGGTTCGCACACTCCGCGTCGATCGCAAGTTCCAAGATTTCGCGACGCGCGTGAACAAGGTTTGCAGGGGGATCGCGAATTGCTCCAAGGTGAAGATGGACAAACAGCTGTTCTGACTTGGAAGATTTGCAAAAGCCTTCCGTATAAGGAAGTGCCCCCTGATGTGTTCTGCACCGTGAGCAATCTATTTGGGACGGCCATGAAGCTGGACAAGTACGGCAAGAGCAGATTTGAGTTTCTCTGCGCCAAGATCCCCGATCCAGGCTGCGAGAGAATCACCTTCAGTGCGAGTATGTCCCAGTCAAAATCCGAGCGATTCAAGGACACTCAAAAGAGGCACTCGAAAAAGTTGGGGGGCTCTATGCCAACGCTGTACAAATCTGCTGTGCATCCAACATCAGCCTGGAGAGAAAAGCCGCCTTCGCAGGCGTGCCCATCTGTGCCATGAGCGAGGTTCCAGCAGTGGCTTATACCATCGAACGATGAGGAGTCACTGGAAGAGCATCGCGAAGAGTGGGTTGCTGCCGGGGGAGGAGATACTGTCAACTCCGGGCGCGCCCACATCTACCTGAGCGACAAACGCTACGGCGCGGATGGGTACAGAAGTGGCTTGCGGGGAAAATGTCCAGTTGAGATCAAAAGTGCACTGGGGCAAGCGGTGGAAGGGGGCATCATCTTCAGCCGGACCGCCATGGATGGTATATGATGGTATCACTACGTCTGAAAGGATACCATCCCAGTATATCATCAGCATCACCCAGGGGGACAAAATGCTTTGGAACCGCGCCGGGAGCAATCTCGAGCCCAGCACTTGGGAGAAGCAGGCGAAGCCAAGCACCCCGACAGCTGATGTGCGACGGATCCCAAGAGATGACAGGGATTTGGGGTTCGACGATGGTCCAGATGATGCCGGCACGGGGCAACCCGATGCTCGTGGCGCTATGCAGGTGGATGATGACAATGCAGCTGGTGACAAACCGGAGCGTGCAGACCAGCCACCCACGAGGGTGCGCCGTGTCTACACCACTCCGAAAAATGCCGAGCCACATTCACGGGCGACTGCCCTTTGCGCATGGTGGAGTACGTCAGCGGCCAAATCACCTGCGCCACATGCGGTTACGAGCCATTGTCAGTGGATGAAAGTGGCCAAGTCAAACACCAAGCCAACAGAAGAACAAAGGTCTTGGAAAAGCGAATTAGCCAAGAACGGAATGTTTGGCAAAATCAACTCATCGCTATTAGCCGCCCTCACAGGTGAGCAGGCCGACATGTTGCGACAGCAAATTGGAGCCAGGGGCATTGCAAGCCTTGAAGCGTCAGTGCTCAAAGATGCCAAGGACCGTCACAGGAGAGCGAAAGCTTTGGGCTATGAAGATGTTGAAGACCGCTACAGGCATCTGACAAAGTCGTACCTGTTTTAGGAAAAAATCGTTGTGCCTTGGGGAAGTGTGTTTCGCAAAAGTCGTGCCTCTAGCAAGAACGCATAGGAACTCTGGAGTTTGGATATGTAACCCATTTTCTTATGAGATCACGTAGCTTATCACTATTAGCATGCAGAATTCCAGGTTGTGGGTATGTTGATGGCGTTGAGCTGGTGATTTGATGATTTTGGATGTTCATCCCAGATAATCCTTTTTTTCCCGAATGCGCAGCGAAGGGTTCCCGTTTGTAGTCTGGGGGTCTGGGGGCTGGACCCTTGTTCGCCTCGAGTGGCTCGTCGCGTCGTCGTCGGGTCGGCGCGTCGTCGTCGGGTCGGCGTCGCGTCGTCGTCGTGTCGTTAACTCCGTGTCTATGGGGGAAGCTGCAAAACCTCTCCTTTTCGAAGGTTTCCAAGCCGTTGGCAAAAGAGAATATCCAACGAAAGGAAAAACAATCCGCACATGCCAAAGCAAATGGCCCACAAGAAATTGCCGCCAAAAAGAGAAAGGCCAACGAAGAAGCCGCCATCCGTGGAGCCGCATCCAGCTCCGCGCAAGCGGAAGCCTCATCTTGGAGTGCCGCAACGGCATTCCTGCCGAAGAGCAAGAAAGCCGCAAGACCATTTCTGGAGCCAGAGAGTCCACCGACTGCAAAGGCATCCAGCTCAGGTCGCCCTGATGCTTCGTGGAGCTACAACAAGGACCACTATGGCGCTCGCCGTGAATGGAGCTGGTGGCGAGGTAAATGGTACTATCGAGATGAGGCTGGCAGCCGTTGGATTCTTTGGAACCGATAGGTAGACATGATGAGTAGCCTTTTGCAAGACATGGCATGGTAAGTTGCCTTCCCTTGCGCTGCTGCTGGGTTTGCAGGCTTGAGCTTCTTATAGAGACTTTTGTATGCAGTTGATGGCTTCAAAACCAAAAGCTAAAAACAAACCCGCTACCGGGTTAGCTCGCTCATTGATTCAACAGCCTCGCTGCAGTCTCTGCTCGCCTGAGGGTGGTGTAAAAACTCCTGCAGTATAACCCATGTTCCATGTACATCATGTGACTACCTTGAAGCGTTGGTTCAAACGGACTAGCAGCTTAACGGTTAGTTGTTGTATTTACCCCATTCTTGGCTGACCTGGTAAAATACAATGACAATAGTAGCAATATCAGCAACACCAATGTAGCGATTAACAATAATCATCGAAAACAATGCCCATTACAGTAGGAATAACTACAACTGTGACAATGACAGTAACCAACTATGACAATAACAGTCATAGTAGTCCTAGTAGGAATGAGCCGAAGGTGGGACACTCCAAGATGGACGTCTCCAGGGACGGCCAGGCGGGGCGATGTGGGAAATTGAGCCAAGCAGGTTGGCAGGTGGGATGCGGTGGGATATTTTCCAACAAAATTAGGGACACTTGGAGGTATACATGGGTATTTGATATTGACCAGTAGAAGTTAGGATTTGAATGGATTTGGGATTGTGACTGCCTGTGAGTCCATATGTGCCATGCTCTGTTGTAGCCGCGGTGGATGGTGGTTTAACATTGTGCGTCCGTATGTGAAGTTTTCTTGGTGATGGATGGTGGTGGTTTAACATGACCTGGTCCCATCCCAGAAAAGGCCGAGCACAGGTACCATCAGTGACTGGACTGGTTGGGGTAGTCATGGACGATTAAGAGCCCAAAATCATCGGCTGCAAGGCTAAACGGATGACATAGCTCTTCTTTGGCTTAGCGGCTATGTCAGCTATGTGGTTTGTCCAGCCCGACCCGCGGTATCCACTGGCTCAGAGGCGGCATCCTTGCATCATTGGCATCAAAAATCAGACGATGTGCACTAGGCATGATGCAATGATTTTTCATGTCGCATCTTTGTTTCCTTCTGATTTGCCCACCTTCGATAACTTGCTTCGCCATAGCCATGGAAGCGGAAAAGGTGGGAAGAGCTTGATGAGCAGTAGAGATTTGAGACTTGAGGCAAGTAAGAGCATAAAACAAGATGCAGCCCACGAACCCGAATGCTCACACGTATGTTGATGGCACAGATGTCAAAACACATGGATATGCAATCACGCAGAACACTTTTCTGCAATAGTTTATTTGAACAGTCTTGTACATATTTCCCCTGTTACCAGTCTGCAGTGTGGAGTGTGGAGTGTAGCATGTGGAGTGTAAAGTGTAGAGTGTGGAGTGTAAAGTGTGGAGTGTGGAGTGTGGAGTGTAAAGTGTAGAGTGTGGAGTGTGGGGTGGAAAGTGTAGAGTGTGGAGTGTGGAGTGTGGAGTGTAAAGTGAGGAGTGCGGAGTGTAAAGTGTGGAGTGTGGAGTGAGGAGTGTAAAGTGTAAAGTGTGGAGTGTAGAGTGTGGAGTGTGGAGTGGAAAGTGGAAAGTGTAGAGTGTGGAGTGTGGAGTGTAAAGTGAGGAGTGTGGAGTGTGGATTGTAAAGTGTGGAGTGCAGAGTGTGGAGTTTGTAAATTGTAGAGTGTGGGGTGTGGAGTGTAGAGTGTAAAGTGTAGAGTGTGGAGTGTCAAGTGTAGAGTGTCGAGTGTGGAGTGTGGAGTGAGGAGTGTAAAGTGTAAAGTGTGGAGTGTGGAATGTAAAGTGTAGAGTGTGGATTGTGGAGTGGAAAGTGTAGAGTGTGGAGTGTGGAGTGTAAAGTGTGGAGTGTATAAAGTGTAGATTGTGGAGTGTGGAGTGTAGAGTGTAAATTGTAGAGTGTAAAGTGTAGAGTGTGGAGTGTAGAGTGTAAAGTGTAGAGTGTGGAGTGTGGAGTGTGGAGCGAGGAGTGTAAAGTGTAAAGTGTAAAGTGTGGAGTGTGGAGTGTGGAGTGGAAAGTGTAGAGTGTGCAGTGCGGAGTGGGAAGTGTGGAGTGTAAAGTGAGGAGTGCGGAGTGTAAAGTGTGGAGTGAGGAGTGTGGAGTGTAAAGTGTGGAGTGTGGAGTGTCAAGTGTGGAGTGTGGAGTGCGGAGTGTAAAGTGTAGAGTGTGGAGTGTGGAGTGTAAAGTGAGGAGTGTGGAGTGTGGAGTGATGTGGAGTGTAAAGTGTGGACTGAGGAGTGTGGAGTGTGTAAAGTGTAGAGTGTGGAGTGTAGAGTGTAGAGTGTAAAGTATAGAGTGTGGAGTGTGGAGTGTAAAGTCTGGAGTGTGGAGTGTAAAATGTAAAGTGTGGAGTGTAAAGTGTAGAGTGTAAAGTGTAGAGTGTGGAGTGTAAAGTGTAGAGTGTGGAGTGTGGAGTCAGGAGTCTAAAGTGTAAATTGTGGAGTGTGGAATGCGGAGTGTAAAGTGTGGAGTGTGGAGTGTGGAGTGGAAAGTGTAGAGTGTGGAGTGCGGAGTGTAAAGTGAGAAGTGTGGAGTGTGGAGTGTAAAGTGAGGAGTGTGGAGTGTAAAGTGAGGAGTGTAAAGTGAGGAGTGTGGAGTGTAAAGTGTGGCGTGAGGAGTGTAAAGTGAGGAGTGTGGAGTGTAAAATGTCGTGTAAGTGTAGAGTGAGGAGTGTGGAGTGTAAAGTGTGGAGTGTGGAGTGTAAAGTCTCGAGTGAGGAGTGAGGAGTGTAAAGTGCAAAGTGTAAAGTGTGGAGTGTATAGCGTAGAGTGTGGAGTGTGGAGTCTAAAGTGTAAATTGTGGAGTGTGGAGTGTAAAGTGTAGAGAGTGGAGTGCGGAGCTTCCCCCATAGACAGGGCGACGCCACAGGAAAACCAGAGACTCGAGACGAGACACGTGGGTGCAGAAAAACGACCATTTCGTGCGAGACCTCCGCCATTTTGTCATTTTCGACACGTTATCAAACAGGTTGGAATGTCACAAAGCGCCACGCCTGCCACGCAAAACGACATGACAACCTGCTTGGAAACCTTCGAAAAGGAGAGGTTTGCAATGGTTTGCAGCTACACGGCGACGCCACAGGAAAACCAGAGACTCGAGACGAGACACGTGGGTGCAGAAAAACGAGCATTTCGTCGTGCGAGACCTCCGTCAATTTTGACATTTTCGACACGTTATCAAACAGGTTGGAATGTCACAAAGTGCCACGCCTGCCACGCAAAACGACATGACAACCTGCTTGGAAACCTTCGAAAAGGAAAGGTTTTGCAGCTTCCCCCATAGACACGGCGACGCCACAGGAAAACAAGAGACTCGAGACAAGACACGTGGGAACATCAAAACCAGCATTTCGTGCGAGACGTCCTCCAATTTTCACAGTTTGAAACATGCCGCACGACATGTTTTGCAGCTTCCCTCATAGACACGGCGAAGCCACGGGAAAACCAGAGACTCGAGACGAGACACGTGCGAGCACCAAAACGAGCATTTCGTGCGAGACTTCATCCAATTTTCACACTTTGTAGCTTCAAAATCGACGTTTTCCTACGAGTTTTTGTAGGAACCTCGAAAATTCGCGACCTCAACATCGATGTTCTCAAAGTCGATGTTTCGTGCGAGGCTTCCGTCAATTTTCAGCACATGTCACAAAATGCCACGCCTGCCACGGAATTTGCACCTTGTCGCCGCTTGACGCAGCCATGCCAATGCGATTCGCAAAAAACACGCCACACCACACGTCTAAAGTGCTGCGCCTGCCACGCAAAATGACGATGGACACGTCCAAAGTGTTGCGCCGGCCACGCAAACTGCCACGCATCTTCGGAAAACGTCGCAAAAGTATTGCTTGAGTATTGCGCATGCCACACAAAACGACTTTCGACACGTTACAAAACACGTCTGACTGCCACAAAGTGCCACGCCTACCACGCGAAACGAAGCAACGAAACGTTGGAAACCTCCAAAAATGACCCCTCCTGCAGAACTTACCATAGGCACGGCCATACGGGGATCGCGCGGACGGTTGCGAACGGTTGCGAACGGTTGCGAACGGTTGCGGACGGTTGCGGACGGTTGCGGACGGTTGCGACCGTGAACGCAACGTCGAGCGAACAAACCCTCAACCCCCAGACCCGCAGAGTGAAACGGGAACCCTTGCTACGCATTCGGGAAAAGTCAGCAATCGGGATATGATCTGCATCTGCTAGGAGTTGGAAAGCCTTTTTGTCTCTGAAGCGTCCACTGCTGAAGCGAAGGCCTTGGGGTGTCATGCATAGGGTTTAAGAATTACTGCATGTTGCGATTTTTCCTCTCCATCGCTCTAAAGTATTGCGCCTGCCACGGAAAAGTGAGGCCAAGTCATACGAAGTAGCGCACCTGTCACGCAAAATCATCTTAGCGAACCTGACGATCTGATGCTCCAAAATGCAGCCCATCTCAGGAGATCAATGTCCTGACCTCGTAAGATATCTGATGAAGATGTCTCTTGGTATTTCCCCGCCACGCAAAATGCATCTTTGCAGATGCTCTTCAAGCGTCCTACGCGTGCCATCGTTTTTGGAAGCGCTGCAAAACCCACACGTTTGGCTCACTTCCAACAAGGTTCAGAATCCATCGCCCGTGCTAGGAAAAACGACAAAAGTGGTCCGACCCTGGTGTGCGTTTGCTATTTTGACTTCGACATGTGCTTCGCGCCACAGCGGCGTACACTTTTTGAACAGCTCAACTTCCAAAAGTGTTCCCAAGCTGAATTGATTTCAACATTTTGGCTTCGAAATGTGCTTCGTGCCACAGCCGCGCACATTTTTTGATCATAACAACTTTGAAAAGTGCTCAGCGCTGCGGTGCTTTAAGCGTTATCACTTCGAAATGTGTTTCGCGCCACAGCCCCGTGCACTTCTGCAAGAACTGTGCCAAAGGTTCTCCAGAGCTGACGTGTTTCTAACATGTTGGCTTGGAAACACAGCCGCGCCGCGTGCAATTTTTGATTTCTCATTCCGCCAGATAGCTCCACACCCGCACCGCACCGATTGGGAAAAACATAGTGCTTCGCATCTTTTCTACCCTTTCGCACGGGTTGATCTTCTTTCTACTTACTCTTTCTTCTTTGACTCTTGCCACGTTGTTTAAAGCCGCATATGCCATTTCGTTTTGGATGTTGCCAACTTCGGTTTATTGAGGAAGTCTCGCAGAGTTTCTTCGTATTGGAGCTGTGAACCTCCATTTTTTGAGGAAGCCTCGCAGAAATCCTTCCTTTTGGACCTGTCAATTTCCACTTTTTAAAGGAAATCTCGCATCATCGCTTCCGATCAGATAGACAGATAACGGCAGATAGATGGATGGATGGATAGACAGATGGATACATAGATAGATAGAACGATAGGCAGACAGAGAGATAGATAGATGGATGGGTGGATGGACGGATGGATAGAGGGAGAGATGAAAGAGTAGATACATGGACAGACACAGAAAGAGATAGAGATAGAGATGGAAATGGAGAGAGATAGAGAGAGCAAGACAGAGAG